ACCCCCACCCTACGCGCGCTCACACTGTAGACGCACTGGTCTGTCTGTCCGTCCGTCCTCCGCCTGCATCTCCCAGAGCCGGGTGGCGCGGAGGCGCCGACTCCCGGGACTGTTCTGAACAGCCCGCCCGTGCTGTCGGCAGGCGCCCCCCGCAGGCCTCCAGCTGCCCGCAGCGCCACCACCCCATCGCTAGGTCCTCAGTCCCCGATCTCCCGCTGCCTTCTCTCGAGCCAGGGAAGGGGCGTGCAAGCTCGGGCGCCGCCGCTGGGCAGCCCTTCCCGGCGTGTCCCCAGAGCACGGAGCGCCAGGAGCGCGGCCGGGACCGGCGGCGCGGGGACGCCCCCCGCTGAGCACCGCGGTCGCCTCGGGGAAACCCGGCCGAGGGGCGCCGGGCCCAAACCTGCCTCGGCTCGGCTCGGCGCGCTCGCAAGTTCATTGTCTGCCTGGGCCGCCGCCGCCGCTGCCGCCACCGCGCCGGGAGCGCCGCGGGGAGTGAGGCTGCGCGCAGCCTCCGCCGGCCCGGACTCCCTATGCCCGGCCCCGGCCGCCGCCGCCGGCGTTGACCGGCCGGAACGCGGAGGGGCGCCGGAGCCCCAAGCCCGGGGCCGGACTCCCGCCTGTCCTCGCCGCCTCCACCCCCGCGCCTGGCACCCAACTTGTACCTGAGAAACCCGAGTCCAGCCCGGGAGCCTCTGCGGCTCCAGCTCCGGCTCCGGCTCCGCGGGAGCGCGCCCAGCCCTGCACCTCGAGCCCCGCATCCAGGGCGCGTCAACCTGATTCCCCGAACGCAGGGAGGAAAAGTTTGGGAGTGACGTGCAGATGGCGAATGAAACATCCGAAGAGGGCCCTCCCCCCGCCCCATGTCGCGCTGACACACAACAGCTCGAGTCTGGAATGTGAGATCAAGGCGTGCGCGCCGAGCGGTGGGTTTGGTCCCCGCCCCCTCCCCTCCCAAGTAAACACGGCTTGTGCGATGCGGTGATTCCAAATAGAAAGCAAACCGAGACCCCTAAAGTCTGCCGGCGACACCCTGCCAGAGACATTTTTAACCAACTTGGCGGTCTGGAGCCAGTCCATACATTGATATTCAAGGCCACGGCGCTGGTGGGTTCTGCGCCCTCTGTTGTATGTCTGCATCCCGCGGAGGCTCTCGGGGCTCTTGGGCCCAGCGTGTTTGCTTCTACCCGGAGGGAAGGCTCGGCGGGACCCCGAGCGCCACTGCCTGCCGCAGTGGCCAGGAGGCCGCTGCTCCAGGAAACCACCTGGGCTGCCCGAGGTCACGGAAGCGGCATCAGTGGTCTACTCCCGGGATTCTGGACTGAAGACGCCATTAGTTAAAGAAAAGACACTTTGAATTCTGGAAGACTCGACTCAAGGGGCGCTTAGAGCACCAAGCCCAGCCTCTCAGGAAACAGGTCCAAGGGAGAGAGAAGAATCCTTGTCTTCAGTCACACAGCCTTCTCTGCCTGCCTAGGTCCCCATGGCCACAGTCCAGCACCCTCATACTTAAAGCAACCAAAAGTGGAGCTGAAAGCGCTTCCTAAACAGAGTGCTGCACACCGCTGAGGGGTGCTTCCTGACAGTGCCTTGTTCCCCTTTCCTCTTTTTCTGAAAAAAAATGTCATCTTTTTTGCGTGAGGCTTCATCTCACCCCCCAGGAACGATAACCAGAGGTCATCAACTTCTGTTCTGCATCCCTGGCAATCAATGCAGAGGTCACTCACAACCAGAGGATTGTAACTGCAGATGGGAAGACCCGGTGAGAGGGGAATTCTCCCAACCTGTATCTTGTTTTTCTGCAAATAGTACCTCTTACATAAAATCTACAAATAAAGATTAATGCAGCAGAGAGACCAGCCTTAGAATTTCAGACTGGATTGCTTTTTTCCATATAGACTCCACTGGGTGATTTTTTTTTCATTATTATTTTTTTAAACAAAAACCTTTTTTTCTGAAAATACAATGAGCTGCTTTTTGCAGGGTTCATAATTCCCAATAGATGATGATGCCATTTTTCAAGGTCTTACACATGTTGTGGCTTTGGGGCTTATTTATTAGCTCCCAAGAAAAGCCTGCCTTTCAGGGAGGTTTATATACTCAAGTAATTGCATGGGGGACATAGTGCAGGGTGCTGTTAAAGGGGCTGGTTGTACATGCGTCTGCAAGGAAGGCCCTGGGCCAGGCAGCTGTCAGACCAGAGTGTGCAATGGGTTTAAACAAACACAGGGAAGGTTCTATGGAAAGAGCGAAAAGGAAATCCCCTCCTGTAAGGGTGTGTGGAACATTATTCCACAACCACACACACCACCGTCTTTCCTCCTCTCCCTCCAAGTAAACACATGATTCCGTTATGGAGATGGCGCTGGGCCCACCCAGATCACTTTCAAATTCAGGTGTCAGAAATCACAGTTGACATGGAGCAAATTGTTTTTAAGTAAAATCAAGGTGCCGCTTTGATGCGAATTCCACTGGGGACTTTCCAAAGGTATTTATACACGTGCCTGAGATTAACTGGAGGGCGATTTTCCCCCTCAACTTTAATTTCAAAAAATTGCCCAAGAATTGCACTTGAGCCTGTGATCCTGGAGAGTTGAGAGAACACCCAGATGCTACACGTATGTGAATGAGTGGATGGATGGACAGACGGATACATAGCTGTGAGAGACATGAGTGCCAGCCTGACATCGGCAACTAAGGGGTGGGAAACAATGCAGATAATTTGAGAAAACAAATAAATCCCCTTAAGTATACGCTCTTAGGTCTCCATAATTCTGGAGTTAAATTGCCTGGGTTTAAACCCTGCTTCCCACATCTGCTAGCTGAGTGACGTTGGGCAAGTCACTCTCCTTTCTGTGCCTCAGTTTGGGGCTTATAATAATAGCACCTCCTAGTGGTAGATTGAGTTATGGAGCCCATGGAGGGATTACTCTTCTGCGCCCTCATAACGTATGGGATATACTTCCTCATTCCTTGACTTTGGACTTGGCTATATGATTTGTTTTAGACAATGAGATTTGGGGGAAGGTGACTGAAACAGAGGCCTGAAATGTGTTGCAGGGCTGGGCCTGCTCTCCTGTGTGCTGGTGGTCCACCATGAGAAGACCATGTCTCAAGAAGCTTCGGCCTCTTCCAGCAAGGCTCTAGAATAAACACATGTGGAGCAGACCTGAACTCAACTTGCATCCTGGAGCCAAGTCACCCCACCTACAGTTGGACTCAGAGCCGCCCCAGCTGCCCACAGACACATAGCAAGGGGGAGAAGTACTTGTTGTACGCCACTGAATCGGAGTTTGTTACACAGCATCATTGTGGCGGTAGCTGACTGATACATTCCCTCCGTGGGCTGGTGTAAAGATCAATGACAAAATGTTTGACAAATACAAAGCACAGCTCTTGGGACACAGTAAGAGCTCCGAAATACGAGCTCTTATTAGTAATCAACATTATTCACAGTAGTTTTGCACATAACAGTGACATAATAACTGTTTTTTAACTGATTTATTGAATTGGTGAACAAGTATTACTTGAATAAAGATCCTGTAGAGACAAAGCAAGGACATCCGGAAACTGGAAAACCAGAGGTCTGCTATGATCCCCAAAATCACAATCATTCACTCATTCATTCATTCAGCAGACAGTCCCCAAACACCTGGCTCTGTGCCACACGCTGGAGCCAGTGCTGGAGCCACTAAGATGATCAGGTCTCCATCCCCTGCTAAGGCTGGGACCTACAGAGTCACCATATGACAGGCACTCAGCTAACCATTTCCCCGTGCTGCATCATTTGACCCTCACAACAGCCTTGTGAGCCAATATTATTGATCCCTGTTTTTCAGGTGAGGAGACGAAGGCTCAGGAAACAAACAACGTGGGGAAAGGGCCAAGGCCAGCCCTGTCCCATTAGTGTGCGCTAGTGCCATTGGACTCAAGTTAATGGCAGGCACACCTGATAGGAAAGTGTGGCAAGAAGAGAGAAAAGGGATGGACACAGCTGGGGTCACTCTCCGTGCCGCGTATGTGCTAGGTGCTCAGGACATACTGAAGCTCAGAAGACCAGATTCCACTCCTGCCACCAGTGGTCTGGCCCTCCGTTTCTCAACTGGAGGTAGCAGGACCTTGAAAGCTGCAGTGCTGGCATTTCATAGAGCTGTGAATTCAGGAGGAACTGCAGCAGGAAGTCCACTTTAAGGGGGTTAAGGGATGGGGGTCACAGTTCTGGGAACCGTTCCAATAATTTGAAAGTGAGGACAGCAGACAATTTAGGAGGGAAGGAGACAAGGCCAGGCCTTGAGCGCTACTCATTAGAGGCCTCAGCTCAACAGCTGCAACCTTGCCTTTTGTCATTCCACCACGAGAGCATCAAGCATCGAGGCTGGAGCATTGGGGGTCTTCCAGGTCTCCCCTATCAGAACGCAGTGCCCCTGCAGGAAAAATCATTTGAGATGCCAAAGGCCTTAGTCATCACCTAACCTGTTAATTTTCAGTTACTTTTGCAGAGACTGGGATGAGGTTTCAATTCACCTTTACCTGATCCCCACATTGGAGGTTGTTTCCAAGGGGACAGCATGAGGCGTGGGTTGCCGCTGGTGTCAGAGCTCCCTCTGCTAGGGAGGGCCACACCTAGGTGCGAGGGGGGTCTGGGGGATCAGTGCACGAGCTCTCAAATTCATCTCCGTGGACCTGGCTTCAGATCTCTGCCATGGACCTGCCTCCGGTCCTGTGACTTTGACAAATTTAGACTTCTCGGCAACCTGAAGTGCATGTCAATTTCATAAATTTAGAAATACTCTGGTTAGACAGATTCCTTCTGCAGTAACACATCCATTAAGTGCACTTTAAGCCGGTTTTGGTATGTGAATCCATCACAAATCGATGTGAAATTTAGGTTCTTGTGAAAATTTCCTACCCCCGGTTCCAAAACCTCCACTGGATTTAGGACGCTAACAAACAGTGGTCCCTTCAAGCTGCAGACTCCAACACTACATGGACACTTCGGCGAAGAGAGGAATGGGGCTAGTTTTAAACAAACCTCCAAACTTGGGTGTTCGCACAACAGCTGTCGACGCTAACAGGGTTCCACCAGGGACAGTTCTTTATTCCGAAGATGCTGCCATGGCTGAGAGTTTGTAGAACTCTATTTCGCAGTTTCCTCCTGAGAAGTCCGAGGGACCGGCAGCCCTTGGAGCGCAAGATCAGGGTCCCGCGAGTCTCTGCTTTCCCAGCCCTCAGTGAGAGCCTGGCACAGCGAACACGCCCAGTACATGTCCTGTTAATGTCCTGTTAAAACTGGAATCTCCCGGCTTGACTAGCGACTCATCCACCAGACTTAACTTGATAAGATTTCCACTATTTCCTAGACTCAAACGCCATCCCCACCAATGAAGGTTGGGGATCCTAAAAGCACAGACAGAAATGCCTGAAGGAAATCAGACGAGGACCCCAAGTGATTTTAGTGATGACCGCATCGTGGGAGATGGTACCGCTCTTTATTCTGCAGTGTCTGAGGCCAGGACGGCATGAATGGCCAGTAATTAGCAACACAAAGAACCTATGGGTGATGAAAGAGACATAATGTCATTGTTCTCATCGTGTAAGACTCTGTTGCTACCAATCGTTGAAGGGCAGCACCTATTAACCAGAAGTTTTTAGCTGCATAATAGACATTTTGCCAATAAGATCAAGTTTACAGCGGTAGCGTTTTTACTTGCTTCTGTCGTAAGATCCACAGCCCACTCAACAGCAAAACTGAGCTGTTGACTTGGGAAATTTAGAGCAGCATCGCGTGCCCCAGCTGTGAAATACCTGAGCCTCCTGAATAAATTTCATTTTCCTGGGTGAGCGTTTAATGCAGTCAAATGCCACAAAGGGACGCTGGGGGCACAATGGGAATGACACCCCCACATGCGGAGGCTCCCAAAGGCTGTTGGTGATTTGTACCCCTTCCCTGTCCAGCTTGACTGCTGGGGCCAACCCAGACCTGCTTCACAGCTCTGGGACTGTACTCAAGAGCACTCCTCCTGTCCCTCCGCCTCCCCTCCCCAGGCCTAGGAGGAGACTGCGGGTGGCTTCGTCATCTCCTAAGGCTCAGGCATCCTGAGCATTTGGGGAGGTTGATATGGGGGTACTCAACCAAGGCATGACTCAGGGGCCTAAACCCATGGACTGCTTTGGGGGAACCCACAGGAGGCTAGCTTCGAGGCTGGTCCATCAATCTAGAATTGAGCTGCGGGCCATTCTGGCCCATGGTTGGGCCTCCTGGCACCTTTCAGCATATGGGCAGAGCAAGAAGATAGGCCACATATCTAGTTGTGCTGAGGCCACAGGGGAGGGAATGAAAAGGGAGGGGAGGGGAGGGAGGCAGCGGAGGGAGAAGGGATAGTCTCTTCCCAGGAGCCCAGGGTGCTTTTCTGCCCTCACTGCTACATAGAGAGAAGACGCGGATGTTTATCCCACACTGACCTTATGCCAGGCACTCTCCTGGGGCCTTTGTACATCCTCTCAGGCCAAGACACTGATGAAGGGGACTAGAGGTGGCCAGTGGGGAATGGTGGGGTCTGAGGCACCGTGGAATACACACACCTGTCCAAGGAAACAGCTGGGTAGGTCTCAGGGTCTCAGCTCTTGCTAGATGGGGCATGGTAGCCAGAAAACTGAGTTTTATTGTAAAATAGGCCAATGTTTCAAAAAAGTCTTTGATTGATAACTAAATCAGAAAAAAAAAATTGTGCAATACAGTGGGAGTCAACTCAGTCAGACTGCAGGAGAGGTGTCCACAGGCTGCCACGTCTGTGCTTCTGTGCCAGTGGCTTCCGGATACTTCAGCTAAGCTGGTCCTGTGAGGGCCAAGGTAGGGCAAAGGGGATACTGCCCCATTTTACCGTTGAGAATGAGAAAACTGAGGCTTGTGCAATTGGCCAAAGGCACACAGCTTTGCAAATAGAAGAGCAGGAGATGGGTGGGATCCACTTCCCCTTGAATCAGTGCTCTGTTCAGGGTACCTCTTCCCCCAACCCAGAAATGGGCCAGATGTCACCTGAGAGTTTCATAGCAACCAGTCAGCACCAGAACGGCTGGAGCACTCATTCAGGGGTCTCCTCCAGGAGCCTGGGAAGCCCCCAGTCACCTGGATCCTGATTTGCACCAGTAGCACATGCCAACAAGGACTGTGAGCATTTTCAGGTGACAATGTTACCATTACAGACCTCAGGACCATTTGTCATTTCTTGTTTGCTCCTTTTATTGCATGGCCCAGGCCAGGCTGTATTATGGTAGATGTGATATTTCTGGCCTCTGGTTGGCTCCAGAGCAGGATGAATTCTGGGAGGGAGGAGTCTGGGCCCCGAGAAGCCAGGAAGTGAGGACATCTCCTGGACCAAGAGGCCTCCAGGCTGTGCAGAACATGCAGACCTGGGGTCCATCTTTCCAGAGCCAGGAGGACCCACTGTCTGTGCACCAAGATGAGGCAGGACCTCATCTACAGTCCCAGTCCTTCCGTGCCTCTCCAAGGTGCCCACCGGGGTTGCGTTGGAGGTAAAGATTTTTGAGTCACTCTCCCCTCCCCCCCACACACACCATTGATCTTCCTCACCCCAGGCTGGGCCTCTGGGCCTCTCTGGGCCCTGTGCTTCCTTTCAGGGGCCTCTCTGGGCACCAAGCTTCCTTTTGGAGGCTTAGCTAAAAGCAACCTTTGCACAGGGTTTCCCTCCTGCCTCACAGGGGCTCAGGACTCAGAAGTCAATTCCTTGGATATTTGCCCCTAAAGGAATTGAGCGGAACTTCTTCCTCCTTCAGGAACCACTGACGCCCACATCTATGTCATGCATACTGTCACTAAAGGAAGTCATTACTTAGGTTGTGATCAGGGCCTACAGCTGCCTCCTGATGGGGTCGCTGTAAAAACAGTTAGTTCCTCTTTCAAGTCAGCCCCAGAGCTGAGCTGATATTTGAAGAGTCAAGGAATCAGATATTCATAGAAACGACTGCATAATTCTTATATGGAATATTAATTATGTGAAGGGACCAACAGAACCAGTCCTTCTCTGTTAAGCCCCAGCGAAAGCACTGTCCCCAGTCTCGGCTAAGAGCCTAAAGCAAATAAACAAGATCCCACATACAGCTTCAGGACCTCAGCCAGGACCTGCCCCAGACAAAGCACCACAGTAACAGCACCAAAATCAATCATACCTCTGGTATCTGTAGGGCCTTAGAATTTACAAACACCTTCGGACTTTGGGGCCCTATACCTTATGTGTTAAAACTCCATGTGGGAGATATTAACGCACGTTCTATAAATGAAGCAGTACACTCAGAAAGAGAAAGGGTCTTGCCCAAGGACTCAGCACTGCAAAGTCCTAACTAGACCTGGAGGATTTAATTCAAGGTTAATGCTCTCCCTATTAAGCCCTCGTCACTTAGCAAATCTCAGCCGCACAGCAGCCCCAGGAGTGGACATTATTCGACCCATTTTATAGATAAGGGAACTGCAGCCGAAAGAGCTTTGCCCTGGACACCTTCCCCAACCCCCTGTAATGTTCACCCACTCATCCGTTCTTCCACAGGAGATTCCTGGCACCCTAGGATCCTGACCCATTGTTCCCAGGATCGGGGATCCACAGGGGTGCTGGCATTCATGGGTGTTTTTCAGTCCTTGTTGCTTTCCAGCCTGGTGTTTAAAAAATATCAACACGCCAAAGCCACAGAACACAGGGTTTTCTGCACCTTGGCTAATTTCCTGCTGACTCAGCCAGGCTGGGCACGAGCCAGCTGTGGTAACTCCCCTGGCTGTGTGTGAGAAATATTTATTGTTGAATAGTCCTCTGTTTAATAAAAGGCGCTCGGGCCTTCACGGGGCAGAGAGGCTCGGACAAGTGCGGCTGTATTTCCCAAGCCTGGGAGATTATTCAAGTGGGGCTCCCGCCTCTGTTTTGCTAGCAGGGCTTCTCTCTGCAGAGGACAGGGCAGCCATGGTTTACACAGTCAGAGCCCGACTTCCGGTTCCTATTTTCACCCTGACATGATTCTGCTGGATGAAGCAGACAAATGACTTAACCCCTCTGCACCTCCGTTTACCCATCTGCAAAATGGCTGCAATCAAATGCGGGTGTTGATTTGCAAAGAGCCCGCCTCTGATTATCTTTGACTAACCTGTGTTCAGGGTTCCTCCCTGGAGGCTGAACCATGTGTCTATTTTGACTTGAAAGGAGCCTTGAGATGACAAAGGACAGCCTAGAAACAGAAAGCACAGAGGACTTTAGGGTACAGAAAGCTACCTCTACTGTTCAGTAATGTACGAGGCTTCTTATGATGCTTATGTGAATCTGGGAGGGCCAGGTAAGAGAGCCAGTTTCAGAGGGGAGACCTTTAGAATATGTTGGATTCCAGATCCCAAAGACCAAAGACCAGGGGTTAATCGCATTTCAATTATCTCAACAGTTGGAAACCATTAAATTGATGTGATGGGCCCTGGCCCTCCTCTTGTGTTAGAAGTGTACTTCCACCTGCCATCGTCAGCACCTTGACTTTTGTCCCCCATGCCCAGCCGGGATTGGATGTGTTCAGGCTAGGAATTGGTCACCAGGTTCAGAGCCTCAGTTATAGAGATAATACATCCTTTCTAATCTGTCAGCCTCCCCTTTGTCCTTTCAGGACTGGCTGTTTTCTCCGCCTCCAGGCCTTGCTTAGCAAGGGTTTTCGGGAGGAGGGCAGCTGAGCCCGACAGGCGGTGCTTGATGTGGGGTCTGGGGAGGTGGGCAGGACAGCCATGTTCTGTGGGTTGATGACTCTTAAGCCCAAATCTCTCTCCTAAGCCCTGGAATGCTGTATCCTGCTGCCTCTTGGGCAGATGCAACGCTGAGCTCCCCATCTTCCTCAAAGCTGCCCCAGCATCCCTGACCCCGTCTCAGGGAAGGCCAGTCACCCAAGTGAGGAGGTTGGGAATTGCCCTGACGTCCAGCTAGTGTCTTTATTACACTTGTTGACAGCTCAAGAACCTGTCCCTTCCTCTCTTGCACCATTGCCATGGCCCCAGCTCAGGCCTCCACTCCCCTTACGCAGATCCCTGCAACAGCCTCCAGTGGGTCTCCTTGCTCCAGCCATGCACCCCAATCCACTGTATCCAGAGCTCTGAAGCATGGCCCCTCTGCATGGCAGACACAGTTATCGCTCACCGGGTATCCGTGTGCTTCCCTGCATTTCCCAGCCCTCCTTGCAGTTAGATGGGGCCACGTGAAAATTCTGGCCAATGGACTGGCAGTAGGATGGCGTGTAATTTCAGCCTGGAGGACAGAAAAGTGGGTGGGAGTTCTCCATGTTTTGTCTGATGAGATGGTGGGCCCCACCCCCACCCCCACCCCCAGGCCAAAGCAGCCTCCATCACTGAGTCACTACAAAGAGAACACCTGGACCACAAGTCTCTCAGCATATCTAGCCTGTGCAAGAACAAGAAATAAATAGTATGTGTCAACCCCCTGAGATTTCAGGGTTGTAGTTACTGTAGCAGAGGCCTAGTCCATCCAAACTGATAACCTGGTGAATTCCCTTCCCTTTTTCATACAACTCAAGGGTCACTGCCTCCAGAAGCCGCCTCCTACCCAGGTCCCCCATGAAACTCACGTCCCCAACCTGTGTTCCTATAGTGAGCTGTGATTTTACCAAGGCAAGAAATTTGTCATCTTCATCATCACCATCACCATCATCACAATCATCATCACCTCACCATCACCACTATCATCACCATCATCATCACCATCACCATCACCATCACCACTATCATCACAATCATCATCACCTCACCATCATCACCATCATCATCACCATCACCATCATCACAATCATCATCACCTCACCATCACCACTATCATCACCATCATCATCACCTCACCGTCACCACTATCATCACCATCTATCTCTTCATGACTATGTCTAAATGCTTTATGCACATACTACATCTCATCTAATCCTGGTAATCACCCTCTGAGGTGTGTACTATTTATTGTTCCTATTTTGTAAACCAGGAAACTAAGGCTCAGAGAGTTTATGTGGCTCATTTAGTCAGCCTGGCACCGACGGGCAGTCTGTCTGTCCAAACCCACAGACAATGTGCCTCACCAGCACTGAAACCCACCCTTACCCACTCCCAGCACTTTGCACTGACTCTCGCACACTGTGAGTGCTATATGAAGTTTGTTGAATGAATACCTAAATGATGCTTGCTTCCTGACCTTCCGTTTATGTAGTGGAGTCTCAGCGGGAAAGAGCTAACCAGTTGTGCTGGAGGCAAGTGGCAAGTTACTCCCAGAAAAATCCCCATCTTGTGGCCTCCTTCCAGGGCAGCTGACTGCAGGCATTTCCTCTCAACTCAATTTTCAGAAGACTTCTGTGATGAACCTTACAAAACAACAACAACAACAACAAACAAACAAAGTAAAGAAGGAGAGAAGGATAGGATGAACACAGCCCTCATCGCTTGCTTCCACCTCAACACTGGGATTCAAAGGCTTTGGTCCCGCCAGCCCTAGAAGAGCCCCTTGCCCCCACCCCCAAATTCGCCTAGCCCTCCCCAGTGTACAAAGCACTTTTCAGGTGTCTTATCTCACCAGATCCTGAGAAATGGGGCCAGAATCCCCATTTCCAAGATGAGAACATGGACCCCCAGGGATGCTGGGCAGTTAACCCTGCTCAGCGAGCTTCTAGAGGCCGAGCTGTTTGGCTTGAGCCCAGGTCCTCTGGCATCAGAGCCCAGTGACCTGCCCTGCCCCACACTGCCTCTGCCATGCTGGGCTGGGGCCTGAGGCCGCGCTGGGAGCCGGGGTGGAGAGCGGAGCTTGCCGTAGCTCTGGCAGCCTCGTTTCTGGTATCACAGCCATGACAAGGGAGCCATTATGCTGATTGTCCTCTTTCCTGAGTGAAAAGAAAAGCAAACACAAGGTAACAAGTGAGAAAAGTGAAAGGCTCAGGGAGGCCAGTTCTGGGATGGGGGCATAGATGCAGGGAAGACAGCTGCCAGGTAAGCAGACTGTTTGGATTTTGTTCTTTGATGGCTGACCCCGTGATGCCAGGTTCTGGGGCAGAGAGAGACAGTGCGTGTCCGCTGAGCAGGGCGTGTTGTAATGACTGCGTTCAGCTCACTGGTGGCTTGGTCTCCAGGAATCGGCTGAAGGTGGTTGTTTGTCTTTTTCCACCACCCTGCCCTGATTTGCAACCCACTGAGACAGCCACTTGGGTCTGAATTGACTGTTCATGATTGGCTCATGGCTTCCCCTAGAGGTAAGAAAATCCACAACCAAAGGCCATAGGAAGAGACTGGGAAAGAGAGGACCCTCTTCTTCCTCAGAACAGTGTCATGTCTGTGCCTGGCCCTGCTGCCCAGAGAGGCTGCGGCCATCTCGCCTCCAGCCTGAGGATGAAGCCAACACACAGGATTGGGCAGAGCCAAGGGCATCAGGGAGACATGAGGTCAGAGCCTTGACACCCCAGCGAGAGCATACCCTGCTCTGGACCCCTGGGTCATGCGATGACAATCGCCTTTATGGGTTAAATCAGTTTGAGTTCAGGCCTTCTGTTGTTACTGAGAACAAAATCATCCTACATCGATGCACCAGGAGTCTGACCTTATCCTGGAGCAACGGAAGCACGTGGAAAACGTGCTGGTGGATGGATGGGTGGGTGGACGGACAGACAGGTAGCCACGACCTGGTCAAAAAGCAAGAGGCTGCCATAAATGAGACAGGCTCTTTAGAAGGGGCTTCAGGAATCAGGAGCAGGGAGAACTGGAATCTATAGGAGCCGGAGGCCCCGCAGCCCATGACAGCCCCTACCCTGCAAAGAGCCTTCACCAGTCGTGGAAGCGATGGATGGAACAGCCTGTCCATTCAGCCACTGAGACTGCGCCACAGCCTAGAAGGACATCGGAATCCAACACAATAGGGCTCCCACTGGCCTTGTCACACCCACCAGAGGCACAGTGCCCATTATCTCTCTGACCAAGGGGACAGTGCATTGCCTGACTCGTTAACACACAGTCACCGGAGAATGTGTCTAATTGAAAACACAGCCACGTGATCACAGCCATCACCTCCTTATTCCCTTTTCCAATAAACAAAGGGGGAAACCTGGGACCAGGAGCTCGGGAAGTGCCAGTGTGGGAAACCTCGGAGAATAGAACAGATCACAGAATTAGGGCATTTGGTCTCGTGTGTGCCACTCAGATGAGCCACACAGCCTGAGGCAGCCGCCTAATGTATCCTGAGTGGTCATTAAATGTTTAGTAAAATGGCCCATCGGATGCTCAGGGCACTCACGGGACATTCGTGGAGACTTAACCCAAAATCCCTCGGGAGCCCTTGCCGTGGAAGGCGCGTGGAGTCACACATCCCTGGGTTCGGGTCGCGGCTCTGCCATTCCTGACGTGGTAACCATGAAGCCGTCACTTCACTCCCGGCTCCTCAGTTCCCCCAATGGTAACATGGGTGGGTGGGGCTCTATTTTGTAAGGGTTAGAGCCATGTCAGGTGGAGGGGGCAGCTTGGCTCTTTGGAGGAATTGAAAACAGAGAATTAAGGAGGGGTGGAGGGGGCGGGGACGCTAGGGGGAGAGCAGGCTGGAGCACATGGGCCTGGAATTAGAAATGAATGTTTCCGCACTGTGATTTATGGCCTCCTCAAATTCTGTTCTCTTCCATAGAATAAATACTACACCACTGGGTTCTACTTCAGTAGGTTGTCTCGCAAACGCTGTCTGTGTTGGGCCAGCTAAGCTTCGCCCCTCCTGAGTCCACGTTATCACAAAGCAAAAATGGGAGAGCTCTGATGAACACACGAGGCTTCTGCGATTTCTCTAGCACCCTCATGTGCACCTGACCTCACCGTTTACCTCCAACTTCAAACCCTTGAGGCTCCTAGGTTCCTCTTCTCCCTTCAGGAGAATTGCGTGTGTGGCCACTTTTTCCACCAGCTTTCAAAACTCCCGCAGGATCTCCAGGACAGCAGTCTGTGTGGCCAGCATACAGATACAAGGGATGGGGCTGTTACACCCTTGTGGATGGTAGAGCCTGGAAGTGCAGAAATTACATTGCTTTCATAAAAGAATCCAATGCAAAAGACGCCTTTGTTCTAGAATATTCTCTGTGTTTTCCTCTATGACTCGATTGCCCTATATAGTCTCCCTTACCCTGTTGTATATAAATGGAGGTCTGAGATCAGCTGTGCCTATTAGCATATGAGAAATCTTCCCATTCCATCAGTTGTCATCGTTTCAGAGTCCCCGTCCTCATTCCTGCACTTAAGAGCAGAACATGTGTGAAAACAGAAAAATGGGTTGAGGGGGCTGTAGAGAGCGCAGGATCCAACAATAAACCTTTGTTCCTCATGTGCCTCCACCCTGGGTAGGGACTGGCAACAGCTGGACAGAATGTCGAGAACCTTGTCAAACAGGCAAGACATCAGTCCATGTGACAGCAAGGAAACTGAGACAGAAGCCAGCTGTGGGACTGGGCCTTCACAGCAGAGGGGGGGACAATTGCCACCAGCAGCTCCAGAGGCACTCCAGGGAGGGATGTCAAGTCCATGGCCTCTGGGGGACTTCCAACACAAACCACCTAGTGGCACAGCGAAGGGTCTCATGTTCCCATCGCAGGCCCCAGAAAACCTGGCCGGAAGGCTCAGGACAAGGAAGTGACCTGTGTTCCAAATAACACAAAAGTCACTCACCAACCACCCCCAGCATCCTGGCACGTGACCTGGAGATGGACAGTCAGCAAAAACCATATAGATTTCTGTCATTTTAAAGACCGTATGTGAAGAACACAGGCGGGGGCTTCTGATGAAGGTGGAAATAGAATGTTCCCCTTTGGTTTCGAAAGTACCAGAAATGAATAGCCTCCTGAAGATGGAAGAAGCTCTGCGGGTAATATTGATTATCTTTGGGGCCAGAAATTGTTTTGCAGTTGCTGATTGAAAGGTTTTCTATTAATTCCTACTGGCAGGCAGAATAAGAAATATCGAATACCTAATTGCCTTTGAAATAATTGCACCCCCCAATGTAATATCTTAACCAACGTATCACGCAATCAATGTTTTGCTGAACTGGGATGGTTTGGAAGGCAATGGAAGGTCAGGCCTGGGGAGTTGGGGGGGGGGTGCGCTAAGGCATTGAGCGGAGGGGTTAACGCAGGTCGTTGCTACTTGAGCCCTGGCCTGTCTCACGTGATCTTGGTCCATCTGCAACGCTGGTGAATAGGAAGTCCCCATCAGGGCCCTAGGGACACAGAAGTGGGGCCCTTTGCTGGAGACGGCTGTGGGGTAAAGGACGGATTGCTGAACTAGAAGTCAGAGACATGAGCCAGACCCACCGCCACCCTGACCCAGTGACGTTGAGGAAGTTAATCAACCTCTTATGTTGCTGTCCTCTCTCCTGCAAAGTGAGACCGACAGAGAACAACCTCGGGGGTGAGGGGGGTGAAATCCGGTGAAATGACTCTCTGAGGCATGTGGAAGAATTCCTTTAAAAACTATTCATCAATCCATTTGTTTAAAAACTATTCCTTGAGCCCCTGCTCTGCAGCAGCACTGTCCTAGGTACTAAGGTGACAGCTGTGAACAAAGCAGACCAAATCTCTGCGCTCAGGGAGATTAATCCAGGGTGGACGGGAGGCGACAGAGAAACAGGTAAGATGTGTAACATAACACGCTGGTGACAGATGTGAAAAGAAAAAAGCGAATCCGGAAGAATGCAAAGGCTGGGCCGAGAGACATTGATGACAAAGAGGACAATGTTCTCCAGGAGTCTGGCTGTGATGGATGGGAGGGGGCAGAAGGGGACGGCAGATAGAGGGCAAGTGGGCTTCTAGGAGGGGTTTGGTTCACAGGGAGAAAGCACCACGCGTTCGGATATTGATGGGAGGGAACCCATAGAGGAGGGGAGCTGGGTGCAGGAGAAAGAGAGGGAAGTTGTTTGAACGGTGTCTTTACAGCAGGCGAGAGGATGGGATCTGGTGCCTGAGGGTTGGCCTGAGCTAGACACAGATGTGGTCTGTCCACAGTACGAGCACAGAAGACCGTGGAAGCAAACAGGCAGGTGGTGGGGGAGTCTGTGGATGGTCCCGTAGGTGGCTTTAATTTCCTCACCGAGACAGGTACCAGGCCACACTCAGCTCTGAGACTGTGAGGAAGCCACTTAGCTTCTTTGGGCCTCAGTTTCTTCCATTTATAAAATGACAACGTTGGACCATAATCACGCCTGTAGACCAGCACTGTCCAGTAGACTTTTCTGTGATGACGGACATGTGCGGCACTGTGCTGTCCAATTCAGCTGTCACTCGTACATGGGGATATTGAACACTGAGGAACTGGACTTTTTGTTTTATTTAATTTTTATCCATTTAAATTGGTACATGTGGCTAGTGGCTACCATATAGGACATCACAACCCTTGCCGCCCTAACCTTTCCATCTCGGATGTTCTATAATTATATGAAAACATTAGCCAATATCTCAACAAAGTTACTG